GATATATACGTGCAATCTTGTTAAACCCGGCGGTGCACGGATAATTTGATTAACGTTAACACTTGATTTATTTGGTTTTCTAATCCTGAAGTGAACCCGAGCCAGTAAAAACTGCAAGGTCGGGAGGCGATGGCCTGTTTGACTTCAGTAAGCAACAAATGCAATAACAGACGCGGGTGAATTTTCATTAAGTAGATGACCATCTTTCATTCATCGCTGTATTACTGCCAATTGGCTAACTGGAGATAAATAACTAACGTTACAAACCTAAATTAAAGGCGGTGTACCGGCGCCGCTGTTTCGTTGCAGGAAGGCAGCAATATGCTAACTTATTACTTCGGCTTGTAAAAAAAAAAAAAAGGAAAAAAAGGGGTGTTAACGCGCTCCAATAACTCTCATTAATAACACATAGACGATGTGTATAAAGGGTGCAATGTTCACGTAAAATAGTGATTATGGCTGATCTGCTATTGCCAATTGAATAACCAATATTTGTTGAAAATTTGTTTACGGGACGTTTATTGTTACAGCCCAACCCAGTGTGTCATCATCAACTCACAGCAATGTCTCTAAATGTAACATTTTGAGTGTAAATCAACCCATGAAGCCTAAGCTGCTGACAATATCAGTGCACTTGTCATCAATACCATTTTGGCATTAACTAGCTAGTACTTTTAAGTACTGTAGTTTAGGCCAGGGAGCAGCAGGGCCATCGCTGATATGAAAACCTCACTGGCCAACACTAACGTTACTTCAGCGCCAGCTCTCGCTGCCATTAACAGTAGATAGAGTAAAATGACTGGATGCACTTATGTAAATATACGTTTTGCTGCAATCTGTTTAACCAGCGCAAATACTGAGCATCATGATCCACCTGTGTAGACACTTTTGTGCCTTAGCCAATTGTATTTGCTCTTTATAAAACAGCCAACTTAACGTTAGCCAACCGCAGCTAACTAAATGGCTAGGAAGCTAACTAGCTATCGCTGCTACCCCACCCCCGGACCGTTCAATTCCGCCACAATTCATCAGCTAATGGTATTAACGCTTTCCGTGGAAGGTATGGAAACAGCATACATGTAGTTTGTTTTTTCTCCTTACCTGATTCAATTTGCGTTTGTTTTTGGGTTTTGGCATTGACTGGAAAGCAAGACGGTGTATACCTCCGATCAACGAACACCACAACGCTAGCTCACTAACTAGCTAGCCAGCTAGCGGTAGTTTTCCGAGGAGCAGCCCTTCCCGAACACTACGGCTAGGGAGCTTGACAACCTCAGTCAACCAACCGGAGAGGGGAGGGGAGGAGGGGAGGGGGTATCACACCCACTAGCAGTGCACTGAAGACACTGCACACAAGCGTACACAAAGGCGAATCTTAAAAGTCACTATACCTCATTCAACAAGACAGCCTACTGTCTTCTTTATGCCCAGTTTAACATCTGCCCTTTCCGAAGTATGTTCACTCTCGTCCGGCCATCAAACGACGAGATGGGCGCGGTAACCCTGCAGTCAGCGCTGGGAAACCCCACGCTGCAGCAGCGATGATGGGTAGAAACCACAGATCGGTGTTCTATTATCTAAATCTGGAGATAATCGATCATTTTAAACAAAATGTAGCTCTTCACGTTTGAAATGTGAATCTCAATTCTAGCGTAGGCTACAAAGCATTATGTTGCCTCAATTAATTGGAAATTGTGGAATGCAAACTCCTGTTCATGATCATTTTTGAGCCATCAGAAAATATCATTCTAATAAAATATTAGCCTACCTATATAGGTATGCTGATCTTCACAATGTCCTATTTTGCCTTACAGCCAACATCACCTTTGGAAATATGGTGGGTGGGACACTAGGCCTACTTTGGTTGTAGGGGAATTAAAACCTGTTACTTTAAATCATACTCTTCTAGTTTATCTTTTGTCTTTCATCCAAAACCAGTTCCCTTACATTTGTTATAATCCCTGCATTTATTGAGGACACCTTTAGTTCATCCCCACATAAGACAAAGTCTTATTCTAGCCCACACAGCATTGTGTATGTCCTCAACGTCCAATAGGCTAAATGTGTCTGTTTGTCGGCTCCCCAGTAATAACCAGATTTAGACCCTCATTAGATGAATTACATTTTAATATTTTGTTTATTGATTTTCAACAAAGGCCATCTTATATGCAAAAGTGACAGTATTTCCTTGTTGCTTCGCATGATCATAAACAACATTGCTTTGTAGATCATAGTTCTCAGAGCACTTTTATACAGATATTGAAATGTATGAGAAAATGTTTTTCATCTGTCATTTTTAGACCAAACTTCTACTACTGTGTTGTGACTAGAATTTAGTTAAATTGGCAAGTATTTTGATCATCAAATTATAACCATCAGCTTTTCTTCCTACATTTTTCCACGAGATTGATCAAAACCTTCATGGCGTTGGTAGTCTTTCTTTCTTTAAAACTATGGCCAACCTTAATATTTGTTCCACTTCATATACAAAAATAGAATATTGGATTGGGCAGAAAAATACAATCGTCCTGATTACCTTGCTGACTACCAGATAATGTAAGTATAACTCCAAATACCTACCTTTATTTATCTATACATATGTTACCGTTTCATCTTGTTTTATTGTACCCATTAAGGTGTTTTCTTCCAATTGTATTTTATCAAGATATGTTTTGCATCTTACTTTATGCATATGGAATACAGAGATTCATATTCCTATCCCTTGTGAAATGTGTAATGTTCCCATTGCAATGTTTGAAATAACTTATTGTAGTTAAGTGCATCCTATTTGGTTGTCTGCTTTCATGCAAGTCACTGGAGGCTGCCAAAGCACCTGCTAATGGCTAACTGCAAGCTAATTGCAGTTCCCATAAGTGGACCACGTGATGTTGAGGTCAGAAAATGCATTTGATATTTTTCACAATTCCTTACCTTGAATCTTCTTTGTCTTGGTAACTTTTAGAATAACGTCCCATTTTAACTTATTAAAAGTTTACCAAACCAGTTGTATTTTATATCCAAGTATAACTTTGCTTTTTACAATTTGTTAGTTGAGATCCATATTCACATATTCCTCATGGGTGATAAGCCAGTCCATCCTTTAAGTGCCATAAAAGGCCACAAAGCCTGCTGCTCTAAACTCTGGAGAAGGAGCATTACATTAAAAGTGCAGTAATGACGAGGCTAAGACATCCTCTCATTCTACTGTAAGTGTTGCCACAGTGCTTGCCCTCAGTTTTGTTTGAACCATGACAGAAAATGGTGAGAAATATGACAAAGCAATTTGCACAGCACATACTACAAAACAAACTCTAATATAAATTCCTCATGGAGTGATTCTAGACATGTTGCTGAGTGGATATTTTCTCCTCTTGATACAACTTACTAACTAAAGTCAAATACTGAAACTTGTATTCTTCCAGGCCAGCAAGTTAACACAAGAGCAGATCACAGAGTACAAGGGAGTGTTTGAGATGTTTGATGAAGAGGGAAATAGAGATGTGAAGACACAGGCGCTGGAGAGGCTGATGGGTTTAATCGGGATCAATCCTAAAGAGAGAGAGCTCAGCCAGATGGCCAAAGATGGTAAATATATATCTGCATTGACTGCCAACACCACATATGAAATGAAATAATAGTAGACAACTACAAGCACCTGTCCCAGTATGTCACCTCGACTTCCAATTTATTATGTGAAACCAAACTGGATCTTAAATGCCAATCTAGATTAATAGCACACATTTTAGGCGAGCAACATCTTCCAAACCATTATAATAAAACGAAATATTATCTAATACTGCAGTATTCTGCTTAACTGCAGCCTGCCCCATCAAACAGTAGGTGTCAGTGTTTCACTGTGTTTTTTATAATAGGATATAGTTCATAAAAAGCATAGTTGCATCTCACACAAACACATCCAAAATATGATTGAAATTGGGTGATAATGTATAAAGTACGTTACAAAAATATTTACTGCTTATTTAATATCTTTCAGTTTTTGTGGCGATGATGACTGGGGAGGACTCATTCAAAATGAGCCGAAGAACTTGTGGATACTCTGCAACTGTTGTTACATTCACTCAATTATAAAACAAGTACATTCATTATAAAGTTCTTAACATATTTAACAAACTGAAATGTGTGCAATCACATAAGATAAGATAAGGTTGTGCAATAACAAATCACCTCTGGCTGTCAGAGAACTAACTGCTCCATAGCTTCTCTTTGGTTAACTTCAAAATGAATATTTAATTTAATTCTCCATTCATTACACACTTAATGTAAATAATATCCTGCTTTATATTGTGTTAACTGAAAATTGGCCCTTCAATAGTGTTTTATTTATCAGATAGTTTATAGATTTGTTATCTTCACGGTCAACTGTATTTTCTACTCTCTAAGGCCGGTTTATTTATATTTGTAGATGTTTATATTTTAGAATTGTTTATTTCTAATCTTTTAATTTCTAATGATGTGCAATGCCTTGTTTTTTTATGCTGCAGCAATGAAAATATTTCCCAATTTGGGATCAATAAAGTACATTTTATCTTATATCCCACTGGAAGAATACAAAATATAACGTCAACCAATGCATCCTAATAAACATCAACGCACCATTTTTATCGGCAGGCCTAATACAAATAAATGAAAGAATATAATTGATTTACTTGTAATGCTTGATCGTGCTTCAAATACACTGGTAATTTGAATATTCTACAGGAGACACATAACAGTTTTAGGGGAATTACAAATACTGCTTGTTTTGTTATGGTCAGATTATTAAGAGTCAAAGAAAAGACAAGACAGGGTTAATTTCCTTAGAGTTTCCACCCGGATGCAGTCATTCACTTGGGTCTGACAGAATCTGGTGTGCAGAGCCATTAAATCCCATTCTCATCCCTGCAAAGCCAGACAGACAGTTGAAGGAGCCAACTGCATCTCTCACTTGAAGCCATTGGACCAATCACAGGGCTGCGGGGGAGGGAGTTATCCGCGCTGATCTCTGTTTGCAGCATCCCTGGAGCAGCCTCTGTTGTGTGAAATACAAGAAAGGGCAAAGCGGAGGGGGGTTGATCCGAAGAGGAAACCGGAGAATGGGAAGGGGATCTTTTTTAGGCTGCTGGAATAGGGTTACTCTGGTGTGTGGAGTCCATCTTCACAGAAAATGGCTTTGTTTTTGTCAATGTAAACAGCCTGTGCAGTGCCTGTTTTGCTAAAGGGGGAAGCAGAATAGGAGGAGGGGCAGCCACTGGAGGAAATGCTGCCTCTTCCAATGACATTTTCCCCTCTCTAGCTAACCCTGGCCTGCCGTAGCTCACATCTGAAGTCATGCATGTTGTTAAGGTACGTATGCAGCTCTAATCTGAGAGGGAACATGGAGTAGGACCTGGTCACGTTGGCAGGATTATGAGCTCAGTTGTTTGGACAGGACTGCTTAGATACAGTGCATCTCAACTAAAAATAACACCAGTAACACAGTAATAAGGTCATACCATCATTCAAACAAAGACGTTGCATGCTCATGTCTGGTTGCTGTGCAGGAATGTTTAACTAGACAACTAGCAATGACTAAATCCAGTCTTTGGTTTTCATTGGTTGTTTGCTTCAGCTGCACATGGTCCTCATTAGGGGCACAAGCAGACAGGATGCACCAAGGAGAGAGGAATGGATCATGTGTCTTGTTTCTGCTTTAAAAGGAAATGTCTTAAAACTCATGTGTAAATCCTCAGGATGCATTGCTTGTCTCTCATGGGATGTTTACAGTATGTGTGGGTGTGAAGTAGGCCACATGTACCTGGATGTAGTGGATATTTATGGAAGTGTGTGTGGTAGCGTGTGTGGGTGTAAGTTTAAATTTGCCGTTTTGAAAGAGCTGCCAACACATTTCCTCCCAGTGCATGTTACAGTTTAAGTGGTTAGTATTCCTTGGTATTTTATCAAGTTTGTTATGCCACTTCTCTGCCTTTGCTACCCACATCCTGCCCAAAAACATCCACCACAACTGAAATTAAGCTTGAGATGTTTCAGAACAGAATTTTCTTTAATTCAACCATTTTGAGAATAATCAGTGCACAGAAGCAAATTGGACATATTTTAGTTTTTGGCTGCAGTTAAAAGAACGCTTTACCTTTTATTCATGCTTCCTACAATAACCCTTTATTAATCATAAACATTTGTTTTAGTTTTTTCTCCAGATGAAATTGCAAAGCCCCATCAATGCTCAAACCAGAGAGAAGTCACCTGTGTCCACCATGAGACGCACTAGAGGCTGAGCGACACAGCAACGTCCACACAAAGAACCAAAATACATCCTTCAGTTAAAAGTGTTGCACCTGACCATGGCCGTAACTGCAGCTAAGACAACTCCAAGTTTTTTCTCCACAACTGCCACGACCACAGCAATCCCCTTCCTCTCGACGAGCAAGGGCGTCAGAGACAATGTCACCTCCAGAACGACATTAATGACTGTTACTATCACAGCAAACGAGACCAGCTTCAATGCCACCTCGTTCCCAGAGGCCGTGATGGAGGGCTCGGGAATGGGAATGGTGCTCGTACCCTTTGGCATCATCACTGTCATCGGCTTGGCAGTGGCAATAGTAAGAAATCATTTAGATATTGTCTCTTAAGTAGCATTAATCTCTAAATGAACTGGAATGTCTCCTTGACCAAATCGATGTTGTTTATATCAATAAGTGTGTATTTGTCTTGACACACATACTGTTCTGTGTTTATACTTGCACTCAGTAATTTACTTTGTTGTTTTATTTTAAATCCACCGCCTTTTTGTCATTATATCTGTTTTTCTTCATCCTAGATGCTGTATATTCGGAAACGGAAGCGGTACGTTTACAAATACTTATTTTAGCTGATTCCACAACCTGCCTTAGTTTATTACAACCAGCCTTAGTTTATAACATGCCAATCAGTATTATTTTCCGACAGTAATTATATACATTTATCTAAGTACTGTACTACAATAAAACTTTTATTTCAATGTCCTGCAGCCTTAAACTTTGAATCAAGTGCATTTCAGAGGGAATATTATACTCATTCTCCACTAAATGTATTTGATAACTTTAGTTAATTTGAAGATTCAGATCCATGATGCAAAAATATAATCATAAAACAATGTATGTAGTATTATTACAGGTTCCCATGTTGAAATCCACAAACTATCTGGACGTTTTCATGGTACCTTTTAAAAAAACTAAACAAAAAAAAGCTCCTTATTTAACAGTTACTATAATAATAAAACATGATTAAGCATACAATTCCTTCGGAAATGGGGCATTAATAAAAATAGGAATTTTACTTTTGGTACTTTAACTATATTTTTATTCTTTTCCTTTTACTTATGTACACTTTTGAATGCAGGACTTATATGTGTTGTAGAGTATTTCTACACTGTAGTTTTGCCCTTGCTGAATTAAAATAGTGTTCTTGTTCCATCTCTGCTAAAACATAGTTTCAACCAAGAGAATTCTGGCAGTTTTAGGTCATTATGTGGCAGAGTAGTGAAGAGGGGCCCTGTGTCAAAATCCAGTTAGTAGCGTTTAGCGAATAACAAACATTTTAAACCAACAGTGCAACTAGGCAACATTTGTTTTCACCTAAATGCTGACTTCACTTCACCTCTCAACTTTTGTCTTACAGGCTGGAGAAGCTGAGGCACCAGCTCATGCCCATGTACAGCTTTGACCCGGCTGAAGAACAAGACGACCTGCTGGAACAGGAACTACTGGATCACGGCCGGGACGGCAGCCTCGCGGGTCCCAATGCCAAGGTCTCTCAGGAACCAATGTCCTATCTCTCTGTCTTATCTAGAATAAATGCTCCTATTCAGACCACAAGTGGGGAGGACCGCAAAAGCCACGATAACCAAGTTACAATGACATAAACAGTGTTTCCTGTCATAGATAACAAACAAACTTCTATCAAAATTCCCCAGTGTTTAGTTGAGTCTCTATTTGTTGACATGTCAGTACATATGTGCTTTATTTTATTTTTGTATTCCACTATTATATGTTATCTCTTAATGTCCATGTTTTTCCTGTCAAAACTTATCATTATTTTCTTTTGATTTCTTTTAAGTTTTGACAATGGCATAATGGTAAAAGGCAAGCATGGTAAAGTATCAGCTGAGTGTCTTTGAAACATCTCTCTAAAGCTCTTTTTTCCTCCCAATCCTAATTCTCTCATTGTTTCCGTTCATCAAACTTAAACAAGTTAGATGTTTGTCATATTATAAGATCTCATTTGTATTAGAGTATGCTAACAGAGGACACACACAATCACACTCAGTCATACTATCTTTCGTCCTTTCCTTTTTTTGCTCCCTCAACTTAATACTCCGATCATAACAGATTTCCTCATTTTATGTTCAAATCAAATCCATCCATGTATGTGTACACACAAAGTAGTTATAAAGAAACAAACTTAAAGAATTAGTTTTATTTTTTCTTAAGATGAACTTAAACTCAAAATCTCATTCATAGCTTTCAACTGCATCTCAAACACGGCCATTATATTTGTATAAAATACAAATATGTCTTTGGCACTGGCATACAACGATTATGTGGCTATATGTACATCTGCATTACATTCATTTAGCTACATTTTAGAATGGAGGTTTGCCTTATTAATATTCTTATACATAATCACACACATTTTCTAGTACAAATGAGAGTATGTATATACAAATGAACCCTAAACAGTTGGCATACCATGGTTTTGCACATGGCTTCTGACCCTAACACATTTTCTCTGGTTTCAGTTATCAGTCACATTTCACTTATTTGATGGTCCTGAAATGAGCAACTAGCTATCATCATCATTTCCAAGTTGAGTTGTACAATTAAAGACTAGAGCCAACATGTGATCTTGATGTCACTGACAGTTTTATGTCCCATCTGTCTCCCCTGCAGACTCTCACAACCTCCCAGGGGACGACACAGAGGCCCAGTCGTCTGGTCTTCACAGATGTAGCAAAAGCTCTCAACGCTTAACGGCTCTCTTCCATTCGTTCGTTTCAGTTTGATGCTCGAGAAACAGACTGTCTCTCAGGAAGAAAAACTAAGGGAAAGCTGGAGTGTTTTTAGGACAACTGTGGCTTTGAAGGACATTTTCATCACTCTGACACAGGACGAAGTGGTTTTCAAAAAAAAATTGTAGGGTGCATGTTTGATAAGGGAGTATAATGGTAGGAATCATATGATCTTGCACTTTTATTATTTGGTACACAAATGCAGTGGGATGCACTTGAATCATGTTGCGTCATTGCTGTTAAAATGTTTGGTAGCTTTTCAGTGAAGTTCTTCTGAGCTTCAATATCTACTTCCATGTTTGAAGGGAGAAATGCACACTTGTGTTTTAATGATTTTGTGGTCTTTTGTCTCTGATGAGCTTGAACTCTGGATGTTTTTTCATCCTTAAGTGAGGAGTCCCTCACTGTTTTGTTTCCTCTTTATTGAGCAAAGAAGATCTGTTACCATCTGTATACATTAAAACAATTTAAACCAATTTGAAAGAAAAAAGGTTTTGATGTACAAACCCATGACAAAAGAGTTGATGGGTGTGATATTTTATTGATAAGGGATAAAGAAGCAGAATAACACAAATCACATGGTAAAGAATCATTACAAAACATATATCACAGGTTTGTGAGTTGTATTAATGTATTGGATGAGGACACATCAATAACATAACTACAAAATGGTGTTAAAAGTAAGGCATAAAAGATGATTTCTCAAGTTACACTTCAACTTTTCAATAGTTGAATATGGATCAAGTACTGTATGTACTATCAGTAAGATCACAGAACAACGTTGTCCCCTTATCGAGAGTAAATATCCAGACACAGCTTGTGTAAAACAACAAACACTAACCCAGCCGTAGTTAAATTAAGAGGCGCCCTTCAGGCTGACTTACGTTAATTATGGTGACGTGAATGTTGCGAGATGAGTGGACTACAACAGTACTAGTTAGACAATGATTTCAAGATTTCATGATCCACATCTCCTGCAGGTTCTGTGGAAAAGGTCAGACACCACTAGCCAAAGACTTTCTTCAGAGACGTCCTTGGCTTATTCATTTTTTTAGAGGTAGTCCAAAAGGGCAAAACGTAACGTCAATGCAGTTGTACAATAAAACATAACTGTCTGTAAATTCATTAAGCTCCATGGCAGCAATTTACCCAACAATGCTGAAATACATACACAAATGGGGATATTACATACCATCAGTGATATGAAAAATGAAATGAAATAAGCTTACTGTCAGTTTAAGGGCAGAAATATTGACCACCAAGGTCTTAAAAACGTTACTGTATTAAAAGACTGGAACCTGGAAACTTCTTTATTTTTTAATTAACTAAACAATTGGAAATTATAGAAAAAATACTTTGAAATACCATTATTACCAAGTACTCTGAGTGATTATTTATGATGATTTATTAAAGATAAACAAGTATATTTAGGGGTTACCCTTAAACTGTGTTTTTTACATCATTCAGATTGTTTTATTTCTCTTTTAAACCCCACAAGCGTTGACCACAAATCGAATTCCATTAATTTCCATTGTATTTGAGATTCAGAAACACATATCTCAGAACTGGTCAAAAAACAAAACTATCTGCATGACTTGAAACCACAAGTTAGAAAGAAGAACCACAAATTAAAAGTTTAATTAACAACTATGGGTTGATCAATGAGTCATTTGTTAACAAATGTATACTTATTCTTCTGGTATAATATATTTTTGCGATCAGCATTACTATCACATAGTAGCCCAATTGTTGCGGGTCACTAAAAGTCTCTTATAACGACCATATAGAAAAATGAAGGAACAACCTTTTTTCCTTTCATAAATGAGTAGAACAACAAAGAGAACGGTTAAAGATGCAGTGTGAAATATTATTTACTTATTTTCCACCATTTATTTCCACCTTGTCATGTATTTCAGCAACTTGAAGTTATTTGCTGCCCTTGTTTTTTTTGTAATTACACTTATTAAGAGTGTCCCACATACAATTTACAGTGTACGAATGAGAAAAACCATGATGTAGAAAAAATGAGAAATACCCAAAAAACAAACAAGTATTTCATAAGGAAGTACACCCTAAAAAAGCAAGTATTTTATCAAGTTGTTTTGTAAACTATTGGATGCATTGTTTTCCCAGGAGTCTCACTTCAGCTTTTAACAAATACATTTTTTAAAGAAAATTACAATGATGCTTTTTTTGTACACCAATCGCAAAATCCTCTGCTGGTGTGTGATGTGTGCTTTTGTGTGTAAGCCTGAAAACCCTTTGTGTGTGTTTGTGTGTTTGTGTGAGGGTGTGTGTGTGTGTCGTTGTTGCTGCAGAGGGAGTGAAAAGTTATTTTGTTGCGATGTTTTTTGTTACTGAGGTAGTATGAGAGTTTAAGAAACTGAGGGCATCTGAGGTTTAAATGAGGTCTTTGTGTCAAGGCAAACTGGTAATGTCAAACACAAATCAGAAATGCACAACAAACACAGCACAATCATTTTTACTGAGTAGACTGACAACATGTTCCTGAATATTTTAGTACCTGAGGTTTCAATATGGTGTAAAAGCACTGTAATAGTAAAATCCTGAGTGTGGTAAAATGACATGCCAACAATGTTGTTGACTAAAGTAAATATGAAGGGTTTCTTTCCAAAACAAGACATCCATATAAACCTTTTGGTGCTTTTTTACTTGCTGGAGGGTGGAAGAGGAAATACAATTGGTAATTGTTATGCATTACTTTTTAACTTTGAGTAATGAACATAAGACATTTCTTTTCTCCCAAACTGGATATCTCCTTTTGGAATAAAATCTTTCACATCTACTTTTATAATAATGACTTCAGAGCACCATGTTTATATTGTAACATCACAAAAAATGTCACCATCTTGCTCCCATTTCATATGAGAATTCATGACACTTGATTTAGATTTTTCTTTCAATAAAACAGTCAAGGTTAGTTCCTTTTTCTCTCAATTTTAACCCACAATCCTGTCCACACACCCGCTCAGAGACAAGCAGAGAGGTTAAGAGAGTGGGCATCCTTAAAGCAATAGTTTAACTTTTTGGGTAAATACGCTTCTTGGCAACCTTTCCAAAAGTTAGATAAGAAGATTTCTAAAAAACAATGAATCTTAAGCGAAGCATTCAGACTGGACACAGTCTGAAGTTGAACATTTTACCTTACACATTTAAAACTCGAAAGGCACATTGCAGTAACTGTGTGAACAATTAACTAAAAACTGCTATCAGTCTTTATGCTAAGTTAAGCTAACCAGCTTCTGGTAGTAGCTTAATAGTAACCGTACAGATATGAGATTGGTATCAATCTTTTGATGCAACTCTTGGTGTAAGTGAACAAGCACAATTCCCAAAATGTCAAACTATTTGCTAAAAAAAAGCTATTTTGAAAGATCAAATTATTCGAAGTAAAAACAGAGCTTGTTCATCAAACTCTTACAGCGAACTAATAAAACCAGGGTACAGTATCATATCGGGAGAAGAAACAACTGTCTGCAATGACTTCTTTTTGTGTGGTTATGTGTGTGTTCCTGAATTCCCATCACAGAAAGGGGTCAGACCCCTGACCCCTGTTTGTTTGAGGCCAAACCTTGAGGTAGGTCGAAAGGCATCCCATCTACTCCCCTTCCTCCTGCGCTGGAACCTGAGATGTCTGAGGCTCGAGCTGCGAGGGATCATCCTCAGTCTCTTCTGAAGAGCCCTGGAACAGCACAAGGCCAAAAAACACCATCACTTTGTGTGTTGTCGCAGTCTAGTGACTCATAATGCACAAGATAATGAATCTATACTAGAAAGAGCACGAGAATACAATAATGAGTGTAAAATTCAGTGATTGCGTGCGGGGAAGTAGGTCCAGCTGTCAGACTTAGAAATGCGAAGAAGACGACGGTTAGGTCAGGAAACCAAGTAGACAGAGAAAGAGAACAGTTAGATCAGGTTTCCCCTCTCTACATTGACTCATTCTTCCCCTTCGTGTGCGTGCGTCTGAAAAAGGGAGTCTATCTTAACGGTTTCAGTTCTTGAAGAGGAGAGGATGCGATAAGGAAGACGAGGGGCATCAAGAGAACTGACACGTTGTGCAATATTCTTTGTTTGAAATATGAACGAGGTGGCTTAAAGAACTAACGTTTCTCAGAAACACTGGGTGTGCACCCACTAAAACTGGATGTAACGAAAGGATGTTTGGAGGTGTATTTGGGGAATTCAGCACCGCCGTCTTTACATTTCCTAGAACCCGTCATATCCTTGTGAAGTCAATTAACACATAGCTCAAAGAACTGTTTCTTTATCATTACATACAAAAGTAAATATGTAGTTAGCAGCGATGTGCCATGTTGTTCTAATCCTCATTTTTTCAATGTGCAGGGCAGTGCAAAGGATTAGCTGTATGTGCTGCACAAGCTGGAGGAAAGAAGCTTTTTCTTAATCTGTGTTGGATTTGTGATTATGGAGACGTTTGCCAAAGAAGTATATGATACTTATAAAGTATGATTCTTTTACATTCAAAACATTTTTAAATTATGAAAAAACAAATATAAAAATGCAATACTTAAGAATCACATGTGAGTTTACTTGATCAATCTAGCCAAAACTACAGCAGTATAATGCATCAAAGTGGATAACTATGTTGGTAATTCAATAACTTTGTCATCATGCTCTCTCTCTTTATGTTTTTTGTTAAAAACATTCAATATAACGCACTGCAGTGTTGGTTAGGTATATTTAATAAATTGGTTACTATAGACTGTCTGAAGGCAATACTTTGTTGGCTGCAGAACCAACTTAATGGGCCCATAGGACTTTTGAATGTAGTTCAGGTTTGAATAGGAACACAAGCAGAAGATATTCATGAATAGTTAAATGAGATCTGCTCTCAAAAGTCCCTCATTATAAATGAGACTGATTTAGTGAAAAAGTAAGATGTGTGACACAAACTGAAATGCCTGATCTACTGAAGCAGAGGATGTCTTTCTTCATTGTCACAGACTCTCAGTGACTTACAGTTCAATGTGATATCTAGTAAGTGACTAATTCAAAAACGTATTGAAAGTAATTTGCTATGTGTTACTTACCAAAAAGACTGCAGTGGAAGGGTATTTAATTATAGAGGGCTTATGCTTAGATTTAAAAAGGATGTAATGTTTTGTAATCATTTAAAGAATCTGCAACATTTCTGCTCATTTTGTTAGATTAGAGATCTTACTTCAGTCATTTTAACAAATTAAATCACAAGAATCAAAAGATTTTTTTCCCCCTCACCTGCTGCTCTTCAGCTACTTGTACTACTTTCCGGGGCTGCGGTAAGAGAGGAAACACAATGAATATATCATGAATACAAAGGCCCTGCAGCTCAAGGAGACACCTTGAAGGCTTTGGACACAACTGTCAGTGATTGCTCCATACCCATTTCCTCGGTCGCCCACGCGGACGTTTCTCACCAACGGGCTCTACTTTCTGAGGAAGAACAGACGAATGGTTAACACCATGTTTCACATTTGAACAATCCTGGCATACTTTCAGCTCTAACTAAGATTAGGGTTTTATGCATTGCCATTTTGTATCATAGTTTTTATTACTTTGTCGCCAGAACAAAGTAAACTGCAATACAAATACAAACAGTTCTTTAAGTCAAAGTATCCCTCTGTAGAATATGAAGAGCTGTCTGTCTGAGTATAAATGAGGAACTCTACCAAGCAAAGTTAAATGATCTTCAACAATCGAATGAAAATACCAAAAATACACATATTCATTGAATATTTTGCTTTTATATCCACATTTTCAGAAAAATGCTGGATTTCCCTTAATTTGTAAAAAACAAAAAAATGTATGTGGGTTATGGCATGTTTTACAATAGGCACATACATACCAATGTATGTTTCAGATGTAAATAGATCGGTGGAGTTGCCTGAAACTAATGTTTTTTTCCAGAGATAGCGATGAAACAAATAAAGTCTATAATAAAAAAATATATGTTATCTGTATACAATTGTTTAGAGTGTTGCTACAAATGCACAGACAACCGGGAAATCTGCCAGCAGGGGCACCACAACAACTTTCACTCCTGCTACAACAAGCCTCTGAAAATAAACTTCAACTTTAAGAGAACATTTGACAAAATAGCAAAGGGTAGCTTTTTTCTAAACTATCTTTAATATCAATGCACACAGCAATGTGGCTCCTGATGCTATATCTGAGTACATGTGATCATAAGTGTACTGTAAATTGATATTTCACAGCTGTCATTCAACAATGTCAACACTTTTTAAACACGCTGCCACACATGTTTTAGTTTATTTTGAAAACAACATAAATACACAATATAAAAAATAGGCTGAGATTTTAGTTTTTAAAGTAGTGGTTGATTTAGAAGTGTTGTTTTAATGTTACATTATTGGAAAAGGCCCCTTTGGTGAGAATGGTACTAATTATTTACTTTAGAAATAGATGTTTAAAATTGTATAATTAAAAGTCATGCATTCAAAATATTTTCAAGTACCAAAAGTAATGTTCACAATGCAATATACTTCATTACAGAGTTTTTGATTATTGTACATACATATTAAGATAAAAATCATTATCATGAATGCATAGATGTGAAAGATGGACCAATTTAGATGGAGCTTATATCAACATAAAACACTGTTGATATACAAAGTGATAGTTTAAAAGATGATGAGTAAAATTGTAAACTGCAAATTGACTTCACATGTGCCTCAAAGATCTACTTTGACTTTCAGTATTTAAGCATGTGCTGTCGTATCTTTAACCACTTTTATCAATGTTAAGTGAGAGACATCCCTCTGTAAGACAATCTTTCATTCCTCAGAACAATAATAGATATCACTAACAAACAGGCGTGAGACAAAAATACTGCACTGATTTAACAGCTGCTCTTTTCTCTGTTTTCAGCTGACACTGCCCTCATCATGATGAATGCTGACTTCCATTAAATGCCGTGCAAATGACATCAATCTTAGTTTTTCCAAAAATTATAAATGGAAACAAAATGTATAGAGAGTATTTCCATCAATTGTAAGACAAATATTGTGTGTGTTATTGAGTGTTAGAGTAAGAAATCACAGATGACTGTAATGTCACTATGATTATATCTTTCTATTATATTTTCTAATGTTAAGAAATTCAGAGCATCATTTCTTTCTTTCTCAAATAAATACATGTATTTATTGACAGCTTATAAATCAGTTAGAACCTTCAGTGCAGTTTTGGGGCCTTTGTTCTTGCTGCCTTTGGGTCGTCCTCTCGGTCTCTTCGGAGTCGGTGGCCCAACAGGCTCCTGCACAGAAAAAAACACATGTTAAACTAACCATTGAAAAACGTTGCTTTGCATGAGCTGTTTCTTTACAGCCAGGAGACACTGACCCATAATTAACTAGCTTTGTTTCCCAGAAGCACCTTTTAATTAGATACTTAATGATTTAAGATCTAGGGTAGACCTGATTCATCTGATCTTTTTAAAGACTGGAGCCTTACCTGCTGCTGTTTCCGGGGCCGACCCCTGCCCCTGCGCTGAGGCTCAGGAGGAGACTGGGCAGTGCTCGGCTCGGGAGACGGCTCTTTGGTCCCACGATTACTCATGCCTGTGTCTGTCCACCTGCTTCAAAGAGTGTGGGCATCAAAGCCTGGAGAAGCAGCCTCAAGGGCTTAAAGAGGAGAAGATGAGAGTAAAAAAACAAAGTATTGCAAACTTATGAATTAAGCAATCATCTTCCACAAATTCTATTCAAAATGTTTTCTTTGCACAATCACAACCGTGAGTTTTCATCAGTGCTTAATATAATTGAAAGGATAAATCAGAATCACACAGGATCATTTTCCAGTAGTGAGCGTGGGAACTGCTTATACATTAGCCTTGGCACCAGGTTCATTGGAAACACAGACAGGGGTCTGGCAGACGCAGGGAAACATGAGAATGGTGTCCAGAAACTAAAAGTAGCACAGATATTCACAACTCAATCTGCCATCCAAAATCTGCATCTGCTCTGCTGTACGCTGCCTTTCCATCTGTCCTCTGTGAGGTATTTCTCAATGAGGTTGTGCATGCTGTAGGCGTGCTGATGCTGCAACAACCTTTATTTGAAACGTGTGGAACTTAGACACCCAAAAAATAAACTACTTATTTTTAATGGAAAAAATCATTAAAACATGACAAACTATTCACACATCTAAGATTGCAACCTATATAGTGAACTTCAGAGCTGCAATGCTTAGTTGATTTATAAAATAGTCATACACAAGAAATGAACCTGGAACTTTTTTCATAATTGATGGCAGTCTCTGTGTCTCATTTTATTGTAAACAAAATACTTTTCGGTTTTGAGTTATAGGGCACAGATACATGAAAAAACATAAGAAGAAACTATTTGGACTTCAGGCAAAACTTTTCTTTCTTTTTTTTACCAACTGAATAATCAATTTATTATTAAGGACATGTCAGTGATTTCCTAATTCAGTAATTGTCTGGTCAATTAAATGTAACAACATAGTTAAAACGCCCCTTAAGCCCCCAAAAACCATGTTGGCATCTTGAATTGTCAAAGATAACAAGTTTACAATCACATTATGACCAAGAAAGGCAACAATTCTCGAAAAATGACTGAAAGTATAAATGAGTTATCAAAATGATTGTCTGATTGATTATGACAAACCATGTGGCCTATCCTCCAATCATATTTGTTGGGAATTTCTCAAAGGACGATTAGTTCATTTGTATTAAGATAGATAGATGACTAAATGCTGCTTGTAATGTCCTAAGGTGGTCGTTCACCGTAAGGTCTAGCTCTGGGAGGAATGTGCCAAAATCTAATTGCCAACACAGCCTATCAAAACGGGCGAACTGAAGCAGGAAGTCGGAGTCATTTTAGAAATATACGTCCTTGTTGAAACGAGTAAAAGCCAAACGAGACAAACGACGCCGTTTCGTGGCTTCTAAACGGAGTAAGGAGCAACACAACAAGCGTCCTGCACTTCTTCTGCAGCGGCAGACCGCCCGCTTAACTAGTCTGTGTTTGCCAGTCTAGTACTGGGACTGAATGTACTTTTTGCATATGGGCGGCAATTGCAACCATAAAAACACCTTGTTTTACAGCCTTTTAAGAAGGTGCGTGAAGCGCTCCTGCATGACTTCAAACCTTCCCGACTATGGGTTGAGTATCTAGCGCATGTAAACGCCAAAACAACAGTCGAGGCCGTCAGTGTTTAAAGTCGGTGCTCTCTTCACAACATCCCCCTGCTCACATCACTTGCGCAATAGTTTGTATGTGCTGTTTTCATTAGTGATAACAGGTCCGCCGAAGTGGATGAACCGAAAAACTGGAGAAACTTTAGCGAGAGGGACAAAGGCGAGGAACACAGGTGCAAAAGCTCTCCTTTCAAAGCAGCCATGGACATACACACATACATACACCCAGGCTATAGGCTCCATGTTCCGACTGAGTGCTCACCGCCAAATGCAACAATGAGAGCGCAGGGAACTTACCTTGAGACGGTTCTAGCTTTACCTGGAAGTTCACACACGGTCAGCTCACTTTGTGCTCCTGCACAACTCTGAAAATCTCAGAGTATCGACCGTCTCATTGGTTGGATTGAAAGGGTAAACTCTCTCTCTCTCTCTCTCTCTCTCCCTCTCTCCTCTAATCGGAAATGTGTGTGATCCCCCCAGACGTCCAGTCACGAATACCCCAGTTGCAGTATAATTGGGGGTTGTAGCTGAGCAGTATGCATTGCATACTTTCTCTATTAAAGCATGTTTCAAGAGGGAGCGAGGGTAGGTTTGGAACAGAGGACCCCGCCCCGAACAGCTCACTGGACCACCCACTTGAGAGAAAGAAAGAGAGAGTCTGGTTCCGGGGTTCCCAAAGTGGGGAAGTTCCCCACAGACGGGAGGAGAAGGTACAGTAGAAATGTCTAGACGGGTTTAAGCAGAGGTTTCACACTCTCTCTCTCTCCCTCCCTGCTGTTAGATCCCCACCTACACTGCTGGACTTTCTGTCAGTCATAACAAAGGAACCAAATATCAGATGGGGTTTTTGAGAGCAAAGTGTGTGTGCAGGCAGCCGTCTTTTTTTTTGGGG